TATTAATCTCAAAATGACCTTTTGTGTTGAATCACTATAAATGGCTGGATCACTTTTCAAATTATTGCCACCAAATATTATCACCCTGTATTACATTGAAAGAAAGTAAAACATGAAGCATCTACATGAATGTATGCTTGTTTTTTTGCACTGTGAAAAAACAACGGTACTTAGAGTCATCAAATTTTGAATAATGTAGTTTTCCACCGGAACGTGGCCATGTGGTAACCTGAATCTGGAATTTGTTTTGTCTATATTTCATATTTTGTAAACCTTAAACAAATTTTTGATTAAAAATGTGAATTTCAAAGGAAGCAATGGCAACAAACAGCGTAGGCAATGAAACATTTTTATCTCCTGCATGCAAGACTGCCTATTGGAAATTCTAATGATATGCTATTTTTAAATACATTTAGCCCAATGTGGTGAATGCTGTTGAAACGTGTGTGTCTGTTAATGCAGAAGATGTTTTTTTGGGCATAATATAAAATCTGAAAACTCTCAGATTTTTTTTCATCCCCCCCCCAAATGGTAGGCCCAAATGCTGCACAGATGTTGGCCACTACTAAGATCAAAAACTGTGGATACTTTAATTATGGAGGCATCTAATAGGTGAGCCGCCATTACTTTCTGTGAGGGGACAAAGAAATACATTTATGCCTTTTTCGGGATTCAAACCCTGGCCCTTACGACAGTCAGTGTCTAACTACTTTCCCATCTGGGTGGATTAATAATTTACAAAGATAGTTTAATCCCAAACTTTTTCTGGTTACACAGGTTGGTTTCCTGGGATCTATTTCATTTACAACATTAAATAACTTTAAAAATTTCTTACTGATAATATTCTTTTTAAAGAGAATGGATTTTGAGTGCTTGAGTAGGGGGGGGGAATTGATTAAAAAAAAGTAGTCTAATCGTAAAAGGACCATTGGATAATGGAAGGATTAAGTTTGCCATTTCTATGTAGTTTTAAAATTCTGTTGTTGTAATTTGAGATCTGATTCACCAAAATTTAATTTGAATAATCCTATCTCAAATGGGAGCCTTATTCGTGATACAAATTAATAAATGATGTGTTAATAATTAGAAGCCTTATTGCCAATGCAGAGAAGTAATTGATGTGCACTTTATTTGCTTTTTGTGCTTCAAAACATGTAAAAATTTCAGATTGAATTTTAATAGTAAATAATTTTAATGTATAACACACCCCTGTAGGTTAAAAAGTATACTGGAAATTTAAGTTGTAGTTTAGGCTGTTACCTACAAAAACATGTTTGGTGCAAGATAGACACGAGTAAGCAGAATGAATTTATATGATTGAGCATTACTTCACAGTGCTTAAATTTGATTGTGATGTCAACTTTTTCATAATCATTGTTGTGATTGCAACATTTCCTGACTTCATCCATTTTGTTTCTTAATGAATGTTGCAGTTTCTTGAAATCAAGTTACCAAAAAGAAAATTACCGTTTTATTAAGTTCACAAACATTTGGGAAAATCTCTTTAAATGCTTTGACAACTTTTACATAATAATGTGTTGTAAAATAATGCTGAAGCATAAAATTTCATTCTTCTTGGGAAAAACTCATTTCTGTCCTGCACCAAACAGTTTTTGATTTAAGTTAGAGGAATATTGAAAAGCCACAAGAGCAGGGATGCCTTCATGGAGGTTTTTTAAAGGAAATTGCGTCATATTCACGTTACATATGAGGAAAACCAACCATGTAGTCAGCCCATTCACCTGGGATTGAATCCAAGCCAGATCAAACTACTGTATTCAACAGTTTAAACCACTCAGTCACTCGTGAGGCTCAAATGGTTTTTGACCTAAAAATAAATCGTTAAAAATAGGCGAATTTTATAGCTAATAGCATAAACTGCAGCTGAAATTTGAAGTGATATATCATTTGCAGCATACGGTATGGGGTATTAGTCATTGAACCAATTTATTATTAATGTTCATTTGGGAATTTCAACACTTGATTGAAGGTTTGAACTGCACAATATTTTTAGCATTCTCTATTTCTGCACATTGTTCAAAAGATGAATCAACTTTCAGTTAGTGTTGTCCAGGGCTGTGGAATCGGGCAGATTTTGGGGTAAAAGGAGTCGGAGCTGGAGTTGCTAAAATCAGGTCGACTCCAGTTTTTGTTGGACAGATTGAATTTGAAATGAAATTAAAATGAATTGAAAAAAAAATTAATGACAAGCTGAGCTATTATTTTTATTTTATGAACTATATACATTAATAAATAGTTATTTTCTATTTTATTGACATATTAAATAAACATAAGGGAGGAGGATGTGATATTTGTCATTAGTGATTAAACTGATTCATTTAGTTACAAATTTCACTGGTAAATTTAGGTTAGCAGCCAGAACTCCCAAAAATTGATGCCATTTTTAGGAGAAAAGAAGCAATTATTGATCAAGCAACACAGTAAGGAAGTACATATTTGATGATAAAGAGATTGTTAGAATTAAGAACTTCTTTAAAAGATGTAGATAACCCTAATATTTCACTAACAGAAAAACTGTGGAATGATCTTGCAGAATTGGTAGGGAAAAAAAAAAAAAAAAAAAATGCAATCTGAAGAATTGACAGGAGGCGAGAACGGAAGAATGTGATGTTTGTTCTTTCTGAAATGGAGGGTTTATTGCAGAAGGAACCTTAGGCAGAAGTGGGACCCAATCTTCGTTTCAGGTTAATCATCTGCTGATTACCACTATCCAAGCATATATATGTTGCCATTCGGTTGAGTGAAAGATATTAATTTTTTTTAACTTAATCAATAAACTTTGCGATTGGCTGCTATTGCCCAAAATAAAATAAAGAAAATCTCAAAGGTTTCAGATGTTAAATTACATCCAAAAGGGCCTTTTTTTTTTAACGTTTTGTGTGTTACCTTTATTTATCAAATATCATGTTCTTTGTACTTAAACCATAAAATTCAGTTCAACAGCACCATCGCAAAATAATTTTAAAATGAGCATATCTTTAGAATTTCCGATGCAGTTCCGAAAATGTTTTTTCATTCAGTTTTGCCATTGCTGGCTTTTAAATCGTTTAGGTTGTTAAATCAAAAATTCATTGAAGAGTTGCAAAATATGAAATTGATAATAAAACAAATTTTAAATTTAAATTAGGGCTTCCACATGCCCATATTCTATGGAAGATTACGTTATTCAAATTTTAATGGTTCTAGGTACCGTTGTTTTATCACAATGCGAGAAACATGTATACATTAATGCAGATTCATTATATAATTTCTTTAAATATAATACGTGGCAACAATTTGAAAATTGAAACAAGGCTTATCATGAATCGACACAAAACGCGAATACAAAATTAATAGTCCTTCTGGGCAAACCCTTTGAACTAAAAATAAATCATAAGAAATAGGCGAATTTTATTTGGAATGAACCTAAACTTCAAAATGTGAAAGGAAGCATCAAATATGTTTAATAAAAAAAGATATATTAATAAATATGTATCAAATTCATTGAGGAGATAAAATTTTGAGAGCTAATTTTTTAAAAACTACTTGTGTGATTTTTACAAAACTTAGCATTTTGGCATAATTTGAGTCGTAGAATCGAAATATGGAAAAAAAATGGCATGTCATTTCAGAAAAAGTCCGATTTTTTTTGTCAAAATACCTCTATTAGGAGAATGCTATATGTAAATCTAATACATATAAGTTGCGCTTTCGAGAGATGAAAAACGCAAGTGGCTCAGTACAACAGGAAATTTTTATTTTGTGCATTATACATCTTTAGGATATTTGTCATTAATCCTTCAACTCAACGACAGCAGTAACTTCCTATTTTGTGCTATTTTTACCTTCTCTATGACAGACATGTCAAACTCATATGTCCCTTGAGTCCTTTTCTTGTTGCCTCCCATTTATTCCAAGAACATAACATCCCTTTACAAAAATACTTTCTCAGCTGACGTTCAGAAAATGCCAGCCCTTTAACAGGGAAAGTTACAAAATTCAGTGTGACTCAATTCTAAAGCAAAAAGTCAATGAAGTAGGTATCTCTCAATTTTACAAATACTTGCCTACATGATTCCCAAAAAGCTGCACATTCCTATTGAATGTGATTTCTGTGTTCAGTAGTATGTACGAATGTGAACAGCTTTTCTCACTTATAAAAAAGAACAAGTCTGCATTGAAGCCTGTTGATAGAATTCATCTGATCTCTACTGTGAAAATTGCTAGTGCAAGCAGCATGTCTCCAGACATCTGGAAGTTGGCTGTAGGAAAGAGATGCTAAGTATTGGAAAAAGAGCAATAGTTGTCCAGATTTCATGATGTTCCTTCTGACTTTTTTTAAAGTACATTGATTAGGTAAGATTTTATGTATACTACTGTTATTTTACTTTTATGTATTAGCATCGAAACTGGACGAGGAAAACTTGCTTGAAAAAAGAGCAAAGGTATCCTACTTTTGACCAATAGAAAGTGAGTTTCTGCAATACTTTCAAGGTGATGATGGATTTGTGTATTGCCATAACATATATGGTGTAATGGAAGATTTGGGAATTTCATGGTGATTGTTCATTGATACCTCAAAGTGGAGCTTGAAGTTTGCCCTCCTCCATAATGGAAATTTATTTGGCGCGGTTCCAATAGATCATTCAGTTTGTTTGTTATGAATGCATATTTTGTATGACATTTGAAACAAACAGACGGTTACTGTTCTCCGTCCGTTTATTATTCAGTGTGTTGTTTTTACTTTAATTACATCATTGAGTATGAAAATGTTTTTTTCCTTCTTGCTTCCCACACTATTGTACACTCATCGTTATAATTTTTAATAATAATTTTATAATGTTTAAATGTTCATGTTGCTGCGTCAGGTGCAAAAAAATTGTAACATATGCTATATCTAATCAAAATTATGAGTTAAGTTATTTTATGTGCATGCTTTTGAAATATCTGCTAAAAAATTTTTGATTGAATTTATAAAAGAAAGTATTGAATACCACAAATAATGCTTAGATAAAAAGTGCAATGGCATTTTTTATTGCAACAAAATATTACAATACCAAATATTTGGAGTAATAGAACATATTTTATTCTAGAATTAATATGTACACAATGACAAAGTCGAAAATACATAATGCAGTTCATTCATTAACAAGCATAATTTTTTTAAAAATTAGATGCAAAAATAATAAAAATTTTTAATTAGCTATTTTGAAGTTTCAGTATTTCAGTAATCTGCTTTATAACATAAACAATATTCAAACATCTCAGTTCTCTGATCACAGTAAAAATGCCCATGACATTTGACAAAGTACATAAATTACATTAATTTAGTTTGGTTTTACTGTGTTGAGCTTTGTATCATCTTTATTAGGGAATGTAACACGCCAACCAAATACAAGTCTATCAAATCCACAGGTGAACAAGTTGCATGGTTTTGAATGTGCATCATCTAACCATGCTACTGAACACACCATTCTTCGATGACCCTGTTAAACAGAATAAATTTTCTTTTTAGCACATTTAAAATGTTTGAAATTATTAACCTTTTCCCGGATATGGGGTCAGTAACATACATGACCCCATACATTACACTCCATTAAATAAGGAATTTAAATTAAAAAGGAATTAAAATTTCCCACTTAGTGTGGAGTAGAAAAGCAGCAGAACCTGTTGAATTATTTTCCGAATCCTTCCTGGTTAAATAGATAATTAAATGGCCATAGGAAAAGGTTAATTAAAAATTTTTGGTTAATACAATCTATATAATAATTTATAATTAAAATATGCAACAAATCCAAAAAATATTGTTACTAAATGCCCAGCTGTGGTAAGATAGCTTCCCCGCAAACCGGGTTTACGGTTGCCAGAAAAAGGCAAGGAAAGGCAGGGTTGCCAGATCTGGTGACATTTGGCGACAGAATTGGTGATATGCCATAAATGGATGAAGAACATTCTAGAATGAATTCTTATTTGGCCCAGAATGCTCTTGAAGGCAGACCTAAAGCTACATAAACCCTGCTTGTATGCAAGAGTATCATTTATCAGGAGTGCATCATCGAATATATTGAGTGCATCGTGTGTGTATTGTCCAGTTTGAGTGTGTTAATCTCCAAGAGTCTGTCACACTACGTCGGGAGCTGTTACTTTAGTGTTTTGCCGTGAAGCTGTCTTTACCGTTATAGCCTGTGTCAGTGTGTTTGTCATAGTTTTTCGATGACTGTAAACATGTTTTTGGAAATGTCCTGAGTAATATTGGCTTATAAATCGTGTTCTGTTTCTTCATCAGGTGTTGTCATCAATCACTCCAAATCTGCAAACCCGTTGAAACACAACAACTGGCGTCAGGAATGGGGTTTGAGAGTGAAAGTCCTTGTAGGAGAAAAGACATGGTTTGGATGGACATTTTAGCCGAAACAAAAGCCGGACAGTAAGAGATCAAAGTAGGACAAGAGAAGTTAGAAAGTGAAATAAAATTAGGTAAAGAGGAAATTGGAGCAAAAATAACAGCTGTGGATAAAAGCTGTGAACAAAAATTGAGAAAGTTCCAGAAAGAAGCAGATGTTTTGAAAAAATAAGACAGCCTAAGAATGAACCTGAAGATTTCATGGTTCTCCACAGTTTCTTCTCATATGGCAATTAAACCAAGCAGACACTATAGAAAATTATCATATAAGGCCCAGTTTTCAATTGTAGCGGAATTTAGTAAGTGGGACTTCCACAAGAAGTCTCACTTGCATCACTCCAAGGAGATGCTGTAAACATCTTGGGAGTCCTTTCCGAAGACCAGATTTCAAACTTCAGCATCCTCTCAAATGCGTTGGAACTGTGAGATTCGGGGAAAAGTGCTTAAAGGACTGTAGCTGCCTGCAGTCGAAAACTCGCCAGCAGAAAATCATGGAAAGATTTCAAGAACTGGTGATTGACATTGCATTTAAGAAGGCTGAATAAAAGCAATACTGGAAAGAAAACAATTAAGTGGTGGAACTGCGGATTGGAAGGTCATCTCCTCAGGAACTGTCACATGAATCAAGACTGGGAGAGACCTCCTGCAAAATAAAACCAGAGAAACTAAAATGTGGCAATCTCATGGGGTGGAGGTTGCCAGGCAGAGATGCAGCCTCTGTGAAAAATTTTCAGATCTCTTCAATGAGCGGCAGAGATGGTCTGTTTGTCGAAGGATACATGGATAAACATTCTTGTAAGATGATCATAGATATGGGAGCAAATGCAACCATTGTTAGAACAGATGGAGCTTGGGAATTGAACAAAACATTGTGCTGGACTCGACCCTATATGACTTAACACACAGTGAGAAGTGATAAGATTCTGATTGAATGTAAAATTAACATCACCATTACCTTCAGAAATGAGACCTACGAGCACTTGGCTTTCGTTGCTACCATCTCGGATGAATTAATACTCAGACTGGACTTTAAATATGAGATGCACTCTACAAAGGAGGATGTAACTGTGTTTGAAATGAAAAACAGATGTCACCATCTCTCCAATGACAGAATTTATTAATAATCTATAGAAAACAACAGCTTCAAATTCTGAATAACTGAATACACTGAAAAGAGCCCAAGAGATGTATTAGTGGCCTTGACATTAGGAGATCTTTCGAGAGTGGTGAATGTTAGCCAGATACTGAGAACCTTCCAAAAGGGTGAAGTGCTTGATCGGAGTCAACATGCACTCCAGTTACTTGCGTTTACAGAGCCCCACCTGAAATTCCAGCTGGGAAATTAATGGAAGAACTTCAGCAGAGTGCACACTTGAACCACGAACAAAGATGGAACAGAGAATTTGAAGACGTATTTTGTAGAATATCCAGAGATGTTGGCTGCACAAAACTGACGCAACATCAAATTGATACGGAGGATCACTCTCCGATCAAGCAAATTCCAGACATCTGCCATTCACAAAACAGGAAGAGGTTGGAAATGTTCTGAAGGAGATGCAAGAAAAGAACATCATCGAACCATCTACAAGTCCTTGGGCATCTCATAGTTCTCGTCTGGAAGAAAGGCGGCTCGACAAGATTTTGTGTTGACTACCGGAGATTAAATAATGTCACTAAGAAAGACAGTTACTCCCCTTTCTCTTGGGATATACAATACGCTAGACACCCTATCAGGACACAAGTGGTTTTTCTTTCTGGATCTCAAGAGTAGATATTGGCAAGTTGAAATTCACTCTGATGATAGAGAGAAAACTGCGTTCACTACCAGCCAAGGACTCTGTAATGCCATTGCAACATTTGAACACCTGAAGGAGACAGTGCTTCGAGGCTTATTTAATGAATCTTGTCTGGTTTACCTAGATGACATCATTATAGTTAGCTGTAATTTCAAGGAAAATCTAGAAAATATCAGGAAGGTGTGGCAGAAATTGAAAGAAGCCAACCTCAAGCTTAGTCCTTCGAAATGGAAGTTGTTTCGCAGTGAAATCATCTATCTGATGATGATAGATATAGGATCTATCTATCACGTTATCACCACACAGATCCAGCGAAGGTGTTAGCAGTGAAGGACTGGACCTGTGGATGTTTCAACAATTAGAGTTTCCTGGAACTCTATATCTATTACAGAAGATTCATGAAGGAGTTCTCCAACATCGTAAGGCATCCGCATAAATTAACAGAAAGTAAACAAAAATTCATATGGACTGAGGAGTGTGAAAAGTTTTCTGATCAGTTGAAGGCGGCATTAACATGTACATCCATGCTGGCATATTCCCAGACAATATATTAGACATGGATGTGAGCAATGAAAGTACGAGAGCTGTCCTCTCCCAAATGATTGATGGTCAAGAGCAAGTAATATGGAGTAAGTGCTTTTCGAAACCAGAAAGGAATTATTGTGTTACACGTAAAGAATTGCTGGTTATGGTCGCTATGGCAGAAAATTCTTACTGCAGGCAGATCATGCTTTCCTACCCTGGCTATTGAATTTCAAAAATCCTGAAAGACAAATAGCCAGATGGATACAAAGACTCCAGGAATATGACTTTGAGATAAAAACAGCATAAAGGCTCCTCCCATGAAAATGCGGATGCTTTTATGTAGGAAGCCTTGTCCTGCATACTGCAGGCATTGGTAAAGAGCCAAGGCTAAGTACGGGTTGGCAAATAATATTTTCAACGTCAGTCAATCCAGATCCACAGAGTGATGAAAAAGTTAGAGAAAACCAACTGACGGATCCTGACATTAAGCCAATAATAGAGCTGAAGGAATCGTGCACTAGAAAACCCATTGCCACCTTCAGTTCTACATTTAAAAGGTACTGTGCTCTCTGGTATTCACTCTACTTCCGAAATGGAGTCTAATATCGCCTATGGAACTAATAAGAAATGGCAGCTGCTGCTTCTTTAAAACTAAATACCTGATGTTCTGAAGGAAATAGATAGCAGACCAACAGGAGGGCATTTTGACTATATACTAATAAAAACAAAGTTCGAGAGCACTTCTGGAGCTCGGTGAGAATTGATGTAGAGAAGTAGTGCCGATCTTTTGATGCTTGTGCAGCCAAGAAAGGACCGAAGGGATGTAGCCAGAGAAAGCTGCAGAGATACAATATAGGGGTGCCTTTCGAGCGAACTGCCCTCGACATACTTGGACCTTTACCATGGATCACGGATAGCAACAAATTCATCCTTGTTGTCATAGATTATTTTACAAAGTGGCCCGAAGCGTACCCAAACCTGTTCTGTCCAGGTATGAGACTACCTTCCAGATTAATTCCGAAAGAGGCAGGAACTTCACTTCAGAACTTTCATTCAAGGGACTCTGCAACTTACTAGAAATCAAAAAAACTCAGACGACCCCGTTACAGCCACAATCAGATGGCACGGTGGGGAGGGTTTAACTGTACAATTCTGAACCACCTCTCGCTTATGGTTTCCAAGAACCAAGACAACTGGGATCGCAAGCTGTCTGTTCCTGCTTGTTTATCATAGTGCCGTCTACAAGAGCACAGGCTATTCTCCATCGCAGATACTCATTGTCCGCCCTCCAGATGTACATTCTTCGCCTAAGGAGTTCGTGTAAGACCTACAGGCCCAGTTGGAAACAGTACAAAGGTTTACCTGGGAGTGGATCAACATCTCACCGGACAGGATGAAGAAGAGGTAGTGGGCCCAGTACCTTTACGACACAAGAGTTCTAGGAAAACAACAAGGTGTGGCTGTGGAATCTGTGTTGTTGTAAGGGTATTTCTCCCAAACTGTAGTCTATTGGGAGTGTTCCTATACAATTCTCACCAGAAGTTCCTATACATTCTGAACGATGTCATGATATCCTAATTCCAAACCTAGCGTCGTTCATGATGACAGATTAGCCCTATACTATATCATAATTTACAAATAGTTATTTGTAAATAGTGTAAATATTTATTTCTTGTATTTTCTTTTACTTTGTTTGCCAGCTTACCTGTTGAATTTGGCTTCTGACTAAGGATTGTATTGCCCAAGATGTGCAGTCAAATGCCCAGCTATGATAAGATAGCTTCCTCGCAAAACAGGTTTACGGTTGTTAGATTTGGTGACAAAGTTGTCAATATGCAGACGGATGGAGAATATTCTAGAATGAATTCTTATGAGTTTGGCCCAGAATGTTCTTCAAGACAAGCCAAAAGCTATATAAACCCTGTACACGGCGTAGCAGTGTATTGGGAGTGCATCCTGAGTTTTATCAAGAGTGTATCATCGTTTTATCTTGAGTGTGTTAAGCTTTGAGAGTAATGCTTTACTATACTTTAGTTACTTATTATAGCCTGTGTTGCTGATTGTTTTAGCATGCTTGTCGTAGTTTTTCAACGACTGTAAACATGTTTTTAAAACTATCCTGAGTAATATTAGCTAATAAATCATGTTCTGTTTCCTCATCAAATGCTGTCATCAATCACTCTAAATTCGTAAGCCTATAGAAACGCAACAATATTAACACAAAACGTAGAATAACAATAATAAGAAAAAATATTATACCTGTCTGTTACTTCGAGGTAGCCTTGCAAGACGAACACCATTTAGATCAAACAGACGTACATGTCTGTTATCATGTGGAATTGCTATGACATGCTGGTTTGAAACTGCTAACCTAGGAATAGATGAATGAATATAAAGATACTTGCATGTATTAGGTAACAGTAATAAAATTATTTCAAAGGCTTCAGTTTCTCCAACAGTTCAGTGTATGTATAATAATAACAATAAAAAGTTAATATATTTGAAATGTATAAGGGGCAGTCTAATGAAAACGAGACAGACTATATATAATGAGCATGGCACGGAATTTCGTAATACAGGTAAGTTTGTGTAGAATCGGGAAGGAACAGCGCGAACGCTCACTGCTGTGTCATTTGTCTGTTAGACGTGCTCAAAATGAGGTCAGCGAGCTGTCTGCACATCTGTCATCACTATGGTGGCTGGGAAACTGAAACATCATGCTGTAGTCTGTTTTTTGACTGCGAAAGGATTGTCAGAAATTCATGTCTGTTGTGTATGGCAAATACAGTATGTCGCATGCTGATTTGTTTGAATGGAATAAACAAGACGGCAGGACAGGCTCATTTTGTCCTCCGACAGTGGATGATGGAAACTATTCAGCTCACGTTGGGCATTACACCAACTGCTCATCACAAGCATCTGAAGTTCCGGAAAATCTGTGTTCCCCCACAACCTGATGGAGGAGCAAAAGTTGAACAGAATGTCGACAGGAACATAATACCTGCAGTTACGCAAAGCATTTTATAATACATAAATTAGTTTATGAATGATGTTATATGATATACGAGTGAAACAACAATACGGTAATACCATGCATTAGGTGTTTTAAACAGTGCCCTACAAAATTTACACGTACGTTGCATTATTCATAAATCAAATTTTCTTATAAACATTGTAGCGCAGCATCGCACTCTCGTTCTTCAACTCGTAAATTTTGTCTTCAGATGCTGGAATCAAGGTACAAAGTTCTGTATCTTCATCATTATCTTTTTACCATGTTGTATTGGATCTTCAACACCACACAGCGATTTGAAGTGAAACTCAGGAATTATCATTTTAACACCTGAAGTATAATGTGCACGCATAAATTTTGATCTTATTTTTTGTACTGTAAGTTCGCATTATAAGGCAGAATATAAGGTACTTAGATTTGCTTTTTATCATTAGATGGCTGAGGCAGTAATTACTAAAATAAATTTCTATATAGAACATAGAGCACGTATAGCATTCATTATTATCACATTCATGAGTAAATCTTTAACTGTTTTGCTCTAACATCTAAATATATCATTTGAAGTAGTCTGCTTTATAAATAATACTAGTACATTAAAAAAAAAATAATACCTGTTGACTGGAGAATCTAATCTTATTGTAGTAAGAGGTGAACGCATATTCTTTAAGTCCCAAACCTTTACTGTTCTGTCATCACTTCCAGAAACAACCTTGTCACCACTAGCAAATGTAGCTGAAGTTACAGAGCTGAAACACAATATATTTAAACTGTTAATCCTTTAGCAAAAGACTTAAAGCAACAATATTAATACAAAACGTAGAATAACAATAAATTGAAATACATACACGTTTTAAAAATATCAAAACATAAGAAAACGTTTTTCTGCTGATGAATTTCTTAAATTACTGTGCTAAAGAAATTCATTTGAAAAATCTCAGAATAGTACTAGGGCATAGGCATATGTACTACGTATGTCACAGAGTAGTAAAGGAGAAGAACTGGTGCTGCCATCTATTGGTATGGTATCCTCAGTGTGGGCGCCGGGTTTTAAAATCGTATAAATAATCTTCTTTTAATTATCACTTCTGACTGAAATGAAGTAAATAAAATTCAGCATGTGTACGTCATATATTTGCAGATTTTGAATTTTTTCTTCCCCTCCAACAGAATACATCAATCTTCAAACATGATACCTTGGAACGAGGTGCATTAATCTCATAACTTCAAAATATTGAACATTCATAGGGTGGTGCTGCCATTTAGAATCGAAAGGAAACACTAGAAACTTATGATTATAGCTTTTGGTGTCAAAAAATTAGCATTTTTAGGAGGTTAAAAAATTGACAAACAACTGGTATATTTGGTGCCCTTCAAAGGGTTAAAAGGTGTCCATAGCAATATTGATCCCTTCTTCTGATTCACTCGGTGTCTAATGTAGCTAATGTAGTCTTCATCGTATGTTCATGTTCATAATAGTTTCGTCATGCATAATAATTCATCATGTTCTCATAATAGGAAGATCACTCTTTTCTAATAATGCTAATACTTCCACATTGTTCAATTTTTCAATTACTTTCCTTTTCTTCAGCTGTGAAGGTCCTGCCATAATTGTACTGTTTTCCATTTTAAACACATACATATAATCTTCGGTATAAACAATTGAAGATTGAGACATAACAATATTCTGCAGATGCATTTTAAAAACAAAAAATTTGTGAATAAAGTAAAATTCCCACCCACTACAAAATAAAAGTTGTGCTATTCTAAACACACACACACAAAAATTGACTATTAATATACTGTGCAGAAGAATGAGAACATTAAAAAAAAAGAGATAATTCAGTTATTCCTTCCTAATTTTAATTATTAAATTTTCTAGGAAGTTTTCATTTATCTTTTTGTGTAAATGAATACAACTCACATTTACTGAGATTAATTTTGGAATATTCCACTGTTCTTTTTGTTAAAAAAAAAAAAAAAAAAGGGGGGGGAATGGATTTAGTTATTTGTAATAATTTGTTTTAATGAAAGCTACACATTATAATTTATTTGGTCATCTTATTATGTGTATCATAATCAACTAAACAATCAAACTATTATTAATAATAATAATTAATAATAAATAAAGTACACGAGAGTTATAAAGGGAAAGTTGCATTTTTGGAAGACTTTTTAAAGGAACTGGCTTGCACTCACATTGTACATGGTTTGCCTTCAAGTTATGCAAAAGTACCCATCCACCAGGATCAAACCGCTAGTGTTCAGTGGTTTCATCCACTTGGACACAGTTAGGGTCTTATATTTTTGATAGTTGTATTAACTCAGCAACTGTATATAAATTAACAATATTAGGAGCAACTGATTTAATTAATGTTTTTATTTCTAACATCTTTATATGTAGGCTACTCAGAAAGTAAGGAACGTTTCTGTCTGACGTCGCTAGGCGCGCGCCGATCACATATATTTTTGTGTTTGTGTGCTTGGCATCCAGCCATCACAATGGGAACATTTCCACGCTGCCTGTTTTTTTGATATTAAAATTTAAAACGTGCGCTGTAATTGAAAATCTCGCTAGTTGTGAGGTGCGGTCTGTGATACGGTTTTTGTTGGCTAAAACCTATGGAAATTTATCGGCAAGTGTGTGAAGTGTACGGAAACAACGTAATGAATGAAAGTTCAATTCGGAAATGGTGCATTCAAGTTTAAAAATGGCTGAACTAACGTTCATGATGAAGAGAAGAGTGGACACCCTAGCATTGTGACTGACGAACTGGTCGCTAAAGTTGATGAAAAAGATTCGTGAAAACCGCTGTTTCACAATAACGGAGCTTTCGCCTAGTTTTCCACAAGTTTCCCGGACTTTGTTGCTTGAAATTGTCACACAAAAGCTAGGCTACCGCAAATTTTGTGCGAGATGGATGCCGAAATTGCTTACAGACCACCATAAAGGTCAGCGAATGGGGGCAGCTTTGACATTTCTGGAGGCATATGATATACATGGGGATTCATTACTGGATCGAATCGTAACTGGTGAAGAGACGTGGGTGAGACACGTGAATTGAGAGACAAAATTACAGTCCATGCAGTGGGGGCACACAAACTCCTCAATGACCATGAAAATGTTTGCAAACCTTGTCACCAAAGAAGATTATGGCAACTGTGTTTTGGGATAGGCAAGGTGTGCTTTTGATTGATTTTCTCGAACGTGGTGCCACAATAAACTCTGACCGGTACTGTCAAACTTTGCGCAACCTTAGGAGAGCAGTTCAAAACAAGCGCCGAGGAAAGTTGACGTCCAAAATTTGTTTTTGCACGACAATGCCCGACCTCACACGGCAAACCGCACTCAAGAACTCCTTAATTCATTTAAATGGGAGGTTTTTCCTCATCCGCCCTATAGTCCCGATCTTGCACCTAGTGATTTTCACTTGTTTCCAAGAATGAAGAACTGGCTAGCAACACAGCACTTTGATGACGACAAGGAGCGCAGCGGGTGCGCATCACTGAGTGGCTGAGATTGCAGGTGGCAGAATTCTATGACGAAGGAATTTCAAAGCTTGCCCACCGCTATGATAAGTGCCTCAATTTGTTTGGTGAGTATGCAGAAAAGTAGAATTTTAGCCGCTTTCTCTGATGCATATAATAATTTTTTTTTCTCTTGTATTTGGTTTCTTTTTAATTCCAAAACGTTCCTTACTTTCTGAATATCCCTCGTATACCTATATACAGATTTAAAAATTAATAGCACATTAATATATACAAATAATAATAAATTGTAGACATTCACAAAACATAGTCCTTCACGATAGCAGGGAAACAAAAATTAATCCTAAAATTTCTTTGTATTATACAATCCATCCATTATTCCCAAAGTAAGTATTTATATAGTTGAAAATCACAGTTAAATTTCAGTTAGCATTTTAGTACAATTGAAGCTGCTTCCACAGAAAATTTTCATTTGTGGTTTTGGATAATTACTTGAAATAAAATATGTGAAAATACAATCAGAAAAATATATTTCCTACTTTAATTATAAATATGTGCCTAAATATTTATTTATTATAATTTTTACCAAATTATTCTACAAAACTCATATTTATTTCCTAATTATGCCTGTAAATGTGAATAAAAAATGTACATTTACTGTTTTGAGAGAAGATAACATCATTATCACTTACTCTGTATGACCCTGGAACACACTAACAGAATGTATTGCTTCTCTGAAGTCCCATAAACGAAATGTTGTGTCTTTGGAAGATGTCACGACAAGACGTTGCATAGGATGGGTACAGGTATTTGTAAGCTCTTGATCATGTCCTAAACAATTCATTTTATATTAAAAAAATCATTTTGCATAATTATATTGGTCTTTCACATTAATCAATTATCCACACCCTCACCGAAAAGTCATGAACTTGTAGGAAATTTTGAACAGCATTTTGTGAACTTATAGAGAAACATTTATTTGGGTATTTTTACATCTATTTCCAAATTAATTATTTTACATCTATTACATCCAGTTCCACCTATTTTTTTACATTCTTCTTTTTCTGTATAAGGCCTGCACATTCCTCTTTTTTTTTACCCCCCCCCCCCCCACTGTTGCTTTCCCAATCTATACAGTGATTGATTTTCGCTTAAAAAATATCAGAGAATTGCACAAACTTGGCATTGAACACAAGAGCCGGCACCAAAATCCTAAAATGAGAAGGGGGCAAAAAAATGCATGATGCTTTTAAATGAACCACGCACTGTATGCATGCAGAAAGCTAAATCCGAAATTTCACCGAAGACAATGAAAACTACAGTATGTAATCCACTTGTATAATTAAAATGCTGAAATTCACATTGTAGGGACCACAATTCCGTGCCATATCCAGAAAAATGGAAAACTATCTGGGGGGGATGCATTTTTTTAACTTTATGGTGGGGGTGCAGATAATAAGAAAGCATATCTTTTTAATGCTGAACAGCAATGCATGAAATATTATACTAAATTTATAAAGGAAACTGCACTGTACTAATAAAAAATAAATTAAGATTGCACAAAAGATACATGAAATCTGAATCTCAAAACATTTTGAAACTGATTTAAGTTATTTAAAAACATCAAGACTACGACCATAATCCAGGTATTACACAGTTTGTTTATTTAATCACTGAAGTTGAAGTTAAAAAATGTTTCAAGTTAAAATGTTTACTTTATATGTGACTAAACAATTTTCTTAACAGTACAACAAAAATGTAATAGATTTTAACATTTTAAAGAAATACAATAATTTTGGCCTTACCTACTAACTGTGTTACAAGCTCCCCCGTTTGCACGTCATAAACATTAGCTGTTCGATCCCAGGAAGCGGTAATCACTTGATCACCTCCGGCAAGCCAGTCTGCAGCAATAACTACACCTATATGTCCTTGGAGTTCAATCTTTGCATTCTTCAATATGGAAACATTATGAGATGTATCAGCATCTGTCACGAAATCATAAATAAGAATATTAAAAATAGCATGGAAGGATATGCATGAATTTATAACTATACAACTTCATGGCTCACTTCTGCTTATTATTTTTATATTAATCAGGAATAAATGTTTATATTTCTATACCAAGTTTCTTTAACACATTTGCTGCCACTGAAAATTATATTTTCATCCTTGAAAGCTGGATTACAAAATAATGTTTTAATGGTTAAAAGTGTTCCTTATATTTTACAAGTAAATTCTGGCAAATGGAAATATGTTTTATTTTTATGTTTAGTGTAATATTTTCCCCCGACCTTCTACAGCATCAGCAGTACATTAAGTCCATGTGCTACTGATGCTCTAGTGCGTCTGATCATTAATCTAAGAAATTATTGACAAACTCCATAAGTTTAAAGAAATAAAATGTGTTAACACAATTAATAAGCTCAGTTTTAAAGAAATAAAATGTGTAATTGGACAATATATAAAGTCTTTTCATATAGCAAGCACAAAATTCAGATTTTGACATTGTTGAGTTTTCCCCATTATCTCAAAATGTCAAAGGAAAATGAAATTTATAAAAAAGATGCATATGTGTAAAAAACGGTACTGTATTACTACTTTATCACTTAAGGTATATTTTACAGCAGTTCAAGCAATATCCATTTTTGTGTGGGCAGTCATGGCATTCATACATGGTGTCCATGCATAACTGTCAATAATTGTTAAGATGCATTGTTGTCTTCTGTCTCCCACAATCTTACATTTCTACGGTGTCCACAGCAATATTGATACCTCCTGATTCGCAAGGAGAACCCCAATGTAGTCTTCATCATCTGTGTTCTCATAATAGGAAGGTCACTCTTTTCCAATAATGCTAATACTTCCACATCATTCAATTTTTCAATTACTTTCCTTTTCTGTGGCTGTGAAGGTCCTGCCATAATTGTACTGTTTTCCATTTTAAAAGCATACATAAAAAAAGTGCTTCACTATCATGCTTAAACAACTTCTTTGTTCAACTTTCAATCCCACACTAGAAATAAAACATATAACTTATGATAGTCCACCAATGTCTCAAGAGCATTGCTGACATATGAAATGTATCATTCTTATGCACTAGCACATCAATGGCAGTGAATGTGTTAAAATATTTTTATATATTTCTTGATACATTTTCTATTTTGGTTTTATAAGTTAAATTTTAGGCATAACACTAGCATATAGAAGTTCGAAAGGAAACTCCATACACACTCGCACCTCTTTTATTTTAGAATAGAACAATGACACATTGTACACGTTAAGATTTACTCAGAGTAAAACAGACATGTCCAGCTGAATAAAAGTGATTGTATCATTGTCAGTAAAATTAAAGAAAGTTATCCGATCTTATTTTACTATGAAGAAATTTAAAAAGAAAACTGTACAGCATTATCTGTTATCAAATGTAAATAAAGAAAAAGAAGCAATGTATGAAGCTGTAAAGGAAATTGTATTGTAATGTTAAAAGGTAAATTAAGGTTGTATAGAAGATACATGAAATCTATACCTAAACAAATTCTGAAAGAACTCGAGTTCTTTTAAAACATCAAGACCATGGTTAAAAATAAAACCATATGCAAAAATATACAGCATTGCCTTTTATGAATTTGGTATTCAGAAGTGCACCAGCATTTAGTAATTGCTATTTACAGATTTACTGGATATAAAATCGACTGCTTCAGTACAAAGAAGGATAAGATAAATTTCTGTTATTTCTTGATAAATACTAGATTTGCTTGATCAAAATATGCCAAATGCATCGAGATATACCTTGTTTATAGTCTTTAAACTCAAGCTTGAAATAACAGAGGGAAAGAAGTTGTACAAATATCTGAACATGCACTTACGGACATGATTGAAATATTTTGTCACTGGTGGGAAAACGTTTTGCATAGCATCTAGAAACATCTTTTGCATAATGATTTATGCTTTTTATAAAATATAATCTCACAATACTAATAAAATGAGTAACAAATGCCCTCAATGTAGCAATATGCAGTATTTGAGCAATTCTAAAGGCGTTGTCTTGAAATATATCTCAACGTCTATAGAAAATTTTAGACAAATGTATAATTTTTTGCATGTGATAGAAATGCCATCAAACACGAAAGTAATCATGCTTATGTCAAAGGTGATGCATTTCATGATTCATTTATATCTGATGATAATTATTAATTACTGCATGTTAATGCTTTTCTAGATGTAAATTTATAATAATTAGATCATGCTTTGATTGTTCATTTTGCTTCTCATTAAAGAGTCAGATTTGACAATTCCCTCAAATTTCCATTAAAAATTATTGTAAATAATTTTATTTTAGTCAGCTTCATACATGTTAAAATTACTGTAGATTTATAATAATTCGATCATGTTTTGATTGCTTATTTTGCTTCTCATTAAAGAATCAGATTTGATAATTTCCTCAAATTTCCGCAAAAAATATCGTAAATAATTTTATTTTAGTTAGCATGTCCAAGTTACTAGAACAAGGGAGAGACTTATAACATCTGTAACTGCTTATTTGGAAATGGTCTGCCTTTTGCATTTTCTTTGGACCTTCTGTATTGGTGAAATATTGATATTTTATTTAAATGTACACAGGAATATTAGTTTATTCCATTACATTATCAGAGTTGCCAACTCTCCCGATTTTCGACCACTCTCCCGCCAACCCGATTTACAATATATTTCTCCCGACTTTTTCTTATTCTTAAAATTTCTCATGATTTTTATGGAACTTGGCTTAATGCTTTGTTACATGAACAAAAAAAAAAAAAAAAAAAAAAAAAAAAAAAAAAGTGATTTTGGACGTCTGAAAGCAATTGAATTTTCTCTAGCTTATATCTAAAACAAAACCTTGCGAATTAGATAACTTCTGCTTTGTGAGTGAGAGCATATATGTATCCAGAAAGGTCGTTCTCCAGTTCTCCAATGGGCATCGTGCTCCACTGCGTGTCATCTGGCACATGTTAGCCAATGAGGACAACGCAAGCTGTTATTTGGATGTTCTTTAGTTATTTCGGTCATTTTGTCCTGAGTTTTGTGAGTACACATGCTTTCGGGAAATAGTTTTAGAAATTATCATCTTTTGTTATGTCTGCGAGAAAGGTGAAATACTCGTGTACGTTTCAAAAATCCTACACAGTTGACTTTCCTTCCATTATTTCCTCAAGGAAATGTAATAAATTTGCGTGTCCTTGCGATTTTTTTATTTCGCATGGTGGAAGGGCAGATGTTCTCAAACATCTGCGTACACAAAAACACAAGGACAACATGAGTTGTATTGAAAAAAAAAAAAAAAAAAAAAAAAAAAAAAAAAAAACCGGAAAATTAAATTTTTCTTCAGAAACAGAGGACCGAAAAGTTATTAATGCAGAATGTCTGTTCTCTGCCTTTTTGCAGAAGTACAACCTGCCACTGAATGCATCCGATCACGCTGCAGCTTTATTTAGAAAAATGTTTCCCGATAGTGAGATCCCTAAGAAATATTCAAGTGCAAGAACCAAAACAGGTGCAATTGTTCAAGAAATGGGTTTGAAAAATAAATCATCAGTTATTGATTGCAATAAAACAGCTCCGTTCTGCCTCTCTATGGATGGAAGCAATAATACCAATTCAAAACTGTATCCAATTGTTGTTTCTTTTTATAATCCAGAGTCTTCAGAAATTGAGTGCAGTTTACTTTCTGTCCCCACTTTAGAAGGACATTTGACAGGCTTTAATATACCACAGCTAATTATTAAAACTTTAAAAGAAAATGTAGTCCCTCTGGATAATTGCTTAGCACTTGGTGCTGATAATACACCAGTATTGGTAGGCTTGAATACTGGTGTTGCAGGCATCTTAGGAAAATTCAGATTTGCAGATTATGAGGTGCACCTGTCACCCCTTAAATTTAGAAGCTGAAAAAAAGGGCAGCTTCTTTACCAATAAATGTGGGTGAACACATTGTTGATATTTATTATTATCTTGAAAGGAGTTCTAAAAGAAGGAAAAATTGAAACAGTTCCAACAGCTGCATAACAGCAGTTTACAATTAGAGAAACTTGGATGAAGTTATAAAATCAGCTAAGATTGACACCCAGTGGAGTTTAATTAGGAAAACTGAAAAGATGCTAAATGGAATTTTGAAAATATAGTGAACTGTCTAGAATTATGTTGGCCATCTTAACAGTTCCCCATAGTAATGCAGAGTGCGAGAGGATTTTCAGTGTTGTTGCGAAAACAAGGACTAAATTTAGATCTAATATTCGTGATGACACATTAGAAAAACTTTTATTAGCGAAAGCAGGCCTACGTGGCAATTGCTATGAACAAAATTTTTAACATTTGTAAGAAAACTGATTAAAGTTTTTTTTTTTTTTTTTTGTTTTCTTAAACGATGCAAGTAATAAAAATGTTTTTTATGTGTAAGGTATTTTTGCGTTGCTTGCATTTAAGAATTAGTTAGTATTTAAAATTAATTGATTATTAAAAACTATATTTTAATCATTTAAAGTCTTTTTAACATTGTGAAGAATCTCCCAATTTCTTTAAAAAATCTCCTGATTTTTGAGTGTCATAGGTTGGCAAGTATGCATTATATAATACATAATTGCAAATATTATGAAAGATCAAAGTTTGCAGAGAAACACAGAACTGCTATATTATCATTCTTATTTTATAATAGGTACAACAAACATTTATTTTCTTTTACTTTTCAAATTTTCTCATTTTGCTCTATTTTTTGGAATATCATCTGCTCTCGGAAGGTTTCATTTTTAAGATTTAAATGGGTATATATGCAAAAATACTATATGACAGCTTAGCCTTGTAGAAGGATAATATCTGATATTTAAGTGTTCAGCCATAATTTAAATCAGTTTTTCTTCCAGTGTATTTTAATTTCATTAATAATCAGGCATTCATCGCCATCAACATAAGACTTCAATGAGCACTAATCTTCAAAGCTGAGAAGGGTTTGGCCTACTAATTTTAAACTTGCCCAAAAGACCATGAGTAAATGATATTTTGATTTTAATTCTAAAATGGGATCGTACTTTGACGCATTTTTCACAAATATGTATGCTACCACAATTGTGTAAACATATTTTGAGATACTTGTCTGTTTACTTAAGAGTACCATCACAAATATTTTTGAAATAATATATATGAGTTGGCCATTTGGAACGTTAAGGGAAACGATGGGTATGTTTTTCAGCAATAAATATTATTCTTTGTGATTTGCATATGTACAGCGAAAAAAACATCTGTAGGTAAAATATAGATTACCAATATATATTAAAGTTGGTATATTTGATTAATATTTTATTTTAGGTTTAATATTCATCAGAATTTTTAATACTTTAAGGCTTTTTAATACTTTGGATTAGTCTTTTTTTTTTTTTTTTTTTTTTTTAACTACAGTGTATAAATGTACACATACACACCTTCTTTTATGCCATTTTAAAGATTTAGTACAATATTTTATTAATACAATATAACATGAATTATACTTTAAAGAAGCAAAAACATTTAAAACCTATGTGTTAAATATTATTAACTTATAAAATCTAGCACATAATTTTCAAGATAAAAATATTACGTTTTATACTTATTGAGTTAATGAGAATACAATGTTTAGAGAAATTACTTTACCATCATAGTGGTCCTCCTCTGACAATTCAACTTCCTCTTCTGAAGAATGACATTTCTAAAAAAAATGAGTTATTTTAATTTGCACATAACAAAAACTAATTAAAAATATCTTGATGAAATTCCATTTCATGCAACAATGTAATTTTACATAAATTATTTGTGGATTAGATGCACAATACTGCATGATAAATAAACTTTTGAAATAATTGTGCAATATATTATTATTAAAAGTAATTCCACATTTACTCATGCCTGCAGCATTATTTTCTTTGTACAATGCAATGTGCTTGATAATGGCATTGTACCTTTCTTTGTACCATGCCACTTAGGGATTGATTAAAACATATTTACTCATTTATTTTCCTCTTGTTTTAAAAAAGTAACTGGTTACATATACAATTAAAAATTGAAATGCATATACAATTAAAAATGGAAAAACTTCTTTTAAGTCTACGTAACAATGTGAACTTTAGCTGCTATTTAATTCCTACATGAAATAAAGGTTTTTAATACATCTCTGAAAGTTCTAATGCTTATAGTTCTCATTAAATGGTTTTGATGCATCTTTATTTTCACCATCACTATCAAATATCACCTTGAGATAATAGTTAAGGTACTGTACGTTCTGCAGAAATAGGCAAAGCCCAATTTACATTTACAAAAACTTTCTTTCCCTATTTTTTCCCTTTAATTACTTTAGCTCATAAAATAAAAACTGCAAGGGGCATACCATCGGGATTTCAACTTCATTTCTTTCTATTGAAATTCATACATACATCAAAGTGTGTGTGTGTGTGTGCGAAAACGGGGGGAAGGAAACTTACAGTTGAACATAAGCAATAATGCTAATTACGCATGCCAAAAGTTACATTCACCAGTGCATACCTAAATGTTTAGAAAAGTGAAAGAAAAAGTGTTAAGAAAAGCACATTTTTTATTATTTAAACAATTTGCAGTTCTTCAAATGAGTCGCAGCATTTTGGATGTGGAGTTGAATAACCATTTGAAAAGTTTACCATGACTAAATATTCCAGCAACATTTTGAACTTCATTTCATGAAGACCTCAGCAGCTGCAGACTGTGAAAATCGGGTTCCAATGACAACATACAGCTCACGTAAGAACTAGAAGCTGTAGCAGTCTTGTGTCATTGCAGTGAAAGTACCAAATAACGACCCTCATTCATTGTTGTGCATTTTGGTTGACAATGTCCAGGTTCTCTCGACATAGATACAATGTCTTGAAACTCGTTCCACAAATTGGAGACAACACTGTGTTTTGTAGTTATCTCTGTTTCTGACTGGTCTCTTTCCAATCTTACCAATAATTCTCTATCTCATTCCATCATCCAAATGTTTGTGGCTATGCATTTTACCCGATATCTTATAAAATTTATCCAACTCTTGTGAGAAACATGGCATGTGTTGTGAAGGAGTAGGAGCACACAAATTGCCCAAACCCCTTCATTCACTTACATTGTCTTTGAGTATTTGCATAATTCTTTGGGGGCATAATTACTACTTTTGGTTCAATACTTTTTGTAAAAACAGATATAATTTGAAAATTCTCTTAGTTTTGCACACGGGTGTGCATGCACATATGTATGTATATATGTAAAATGTAAAAAATACAATGGCTTTGCTTGCGCGAACAGGCAACCTAGAATTAACATTCTGCAATTTCAGGATCTTCCCCCTCGACCAGTACTTTCGAGAACATTCTGGCATGTTATATAACTGCTGGTATAAATACTTGTGTGCGTGGCATTTTTCGTCAGACTGCTTTCTTCTACCACTGCTACAAGACTTTGCTGCTGCTCATCCCATCTTTTTCTTCCTTTTGTTAAAACAGTCATGACATAGAAAGTCTAAATTTAATCTTACTTAGTTTAAATCACTATTGAATATGTAATTTGGAGAATTTCATCTAAAGGAAAAATGGTCTGCTGTGAGAATTGAATAAAGATGTGGAATTTAAAAAGCTAAATACTTCTTATCGGAACCTTCTACTCAGCCATAACAATGCACGGACTCTGACGTAGATATATTGTCAAGCTTTGTCATTCCTGTGCCTGCCTGCCAAAATATTACATATATATGTGATGATTTTATGGAAAAGATACAGTTACCTTCGAATCATGGCCAATGTTGTAGATGATAACAGTGCGTAGATGCATAACTACATATTTGCAATACCTAATGTTAGCCATGGTGCCAAGTTAACATTATTCCTGGACAAAACAATTCTTAAGAAGCACATCTTGATTATGAAACATAATACGTGCAAACTGATCATTACAATGCATGCAAATTGCACCATATCATTTCATATGCTTTATCATGATTCATTAAAGCATTTATATAAGTAACTGATTAATTTTGAACTGACACAGTTTATAGAGATTTTTCAGCAGTTACTTCTTTTCAGGTCAGAAAGGAGAAAGGGCTAAATTAAAATGAAGAGTAGCATGTTAAAATTATAATTTTGCTTTACATATTTTCTATCTTACATACATAAATAATAAAAATAAAAATTTAGTAAAATTTCTAATTGCTTTACATGTGCAGATGCAGTAAGTAACAACTAATATCAGTATAAAATATTTCTAAAATTACTAATTTTAGAAATATTTTACATAAATAATAAAAATAAAAATTTTAGTGAAATTTCTAATTGCTTTACATGTGCAGATGCAGTAACAACTAATTTCAGTATAAAATATTTCTAAAATTACTAATTTTTCTAAATATCTTATTAAGAAACAAATATATAAAGAACAATTTGAATAACTGAAAAATAAAATGAATTGAATCATGAATTAATTAAAGTGGATTAATCTATTTCATGACAGTAATTTCCAAATACTGATTTTCATGATACAGTACAAAGTCCGTAATCTGAACTTGGGCGATTCTGGATTAGGGTTTTTTTCCGGATTATAGATCATCAATTTAAATTTAGTAAGATGGCATGCAGAAATTATACAATTAAAAATATGAAACCATAATTTATGAAATAAAGAGCAATTATGATGTAAAGGGCATCAAAATTTATAAAAAAAAGTTTAATATTTATTTGTTTACTTTATTAAACATTTCTTTCAATGTAAGTTGTTTAAGTTGCTTTGTTTTCTGTGCTAGTATTTTCTCTTTAATTCTATAAACAGACATAATTTCTTGTTCAGCTACAAAGTTCCACTGTTCAAATCCTGTAATTGCTATATCGAGAATACTGACTAACTTGTCAATCGAAATTTTTTCATTTTCAATAACCTCTCTGTCACTTTCTTCACTATCGGAAGAGGTATTTTCTGGATCTAGAACCATACTACAGATTTCGCCGTCCATTAATTGGTTGGTGATTGGGGCATTGTTGTCGCAATGAAAAACTTCTGTTATATCATCTTCATTTATTACTGCTTCTTCACATTTCTTTACAAAATCCAATAACTGAAAATTTTTACCTTTAGTTTTCTATGTCCGAAAAACTTCAAATTTGCAACTATCATCTTCATCATCCTCACCATGAAATATGGTAGCTGGCCATAAATTATGCCAAGCATTTTTTAACGTATCTGGAGACACATCCTTCCACGATCTTGCGATGCTCCACACAGCAGATTTTATGCTAAAAAATTTCAAAAAGTTTTGAATAGTCTTGCCATTGAAATTTAATATAGATTTTAAAAATGCTACTTTATATTTGCATTTCAGCGTGTGCACTATTCCCATATCCATAGGCTGAATGATAGACGTACAATTTAGAGAGTTTTTCACTAAAACTTCAAGTGAAATATGTGCCGAACAGTCATCAACAATCAGGACTATTTTGGAGTCATCAGGTAAACCAACCGAATTTAAATGTCGCCGAGCCTCGGGTATAAAATTATTTTCAAACCAATTATTCATCAATGCTTGTGTCATCCATGTTCTTTTATTTGCATGATATATAACAGGGAAAATCGTTACTCCTTTAGATGCTCGAGGTCGTACATGTTTTCCGATTACGAAAAATTTGCACTTGTGCATTCCTGCATGCTAAAATTGAGTCTCGTTTTGGAATCTTTGACACCAACTGGAGCCTTTTCTGTAGAGGTTGCCAAGATATTTCACAGTACATAATGCCAGAAAAGACCAGTTTCATCAGCACTGTAAATTTTTTCTGGAGATAATTGTTCATTAGCAATGAGTTCAATGAATTCATCTGCAAATTATTCAGCAGCTGCAGTACCAGCTGAAGCTTTTTCCCCTGAAATTTATAATTGTCTTATACCATGGCGATTTTTAAATTTGGTTAACCAACCTGTCGAATATGTGCACTCAGTGTTTAAGTTCATTTCTTCATGAAATATTTTGGCTTGAGCCATTAGCATTGGACCCATCAATGGCGTGCCCTCGCTGTGACACTGTCTGACCCATTCAATCATCATTTTGGCATAATCGTCACTTTTAGCATAACGAACCCGTTTTCTGTTATACATCGCAAGTGGGGTGTCGGAATCGAGAAAAAATTCAAAAAGTTCCTTTTTCTTTTTGCTTATGTCATATACAGTTGACTTTACAATGTCATACTCCTCGCATAATTTTGAGACGGATATGCCTTTGATCCATTTTTTGCAGCAATTTCACTTTTTGTTTGATGGACATCGAAACATGCTTTCGCTTTGTAAATCCTTCGGCAGCTACAGAATTGGAAACTCTTTTTGACGTAATCGAAAGTTCAAGCTTAATTTTTATAAAATTGCTCTAACAGTCTGCAAAAAATAATAAACTGGATCTAATTAGAAGATTAAGGAACGGTGCAATCTGCAACATTAACTGAAAGCCTTAGAATCAGTAAAGATAATTTTAGCCTAGCTTATACCGTCCGTTATACATTAAATGCGCATGCGTAAAGCACACACACACAAAAAAAGTTTGTGGCTTTGAGGTCCGGATTATAGATTATTCTGGATAATGGACGTCTGGATTACGGACTTTGTACTGTATTAAACAACGAAAATTTATTTCATTATTTCAAACTATTACTCTATATATACATTGTATATCAAATATCAAGGCAAAAGGACATTCTGTGGCATTGTATGTAAAAAAATCTGATGTGGACAAAAAAATCTGTGTGTATGTAGTGATGTTATGCAACAAAAATTTCTCAATGGATTCGGGAGCAATAAAAATGCATATTTCCATTGAAATATACCCAAAATTTTTTGCAATTACAATACTTTCTTTAATTCATTCAAAGAAGTAATAACAATTTCGACATCTAGTGGTGACCGATTTAACAATGAAAAAATAAAATGAAAGATGTTGCGCTATTACTTCTTATTAAATTATGTGAAATATCATCATTTCTCTTTACATACTGAATAAATTAAAAATGTAATAACCCATATTTACAAGCTCTTTTTTTATCTGTATATTTCATTGCATTTGTACGATCACCAAAGTTCGTTAATCATTGAATTTCAATATATTATTAATAACCCAGCACTGATATAATACTATTATTATCATATACAGTCCCTTCATATTCATAATGGCCACCTTATTACAGCTTACGTCTTCATTTATTTAATTTCAATTTAGGTTTTCATAACATGGAATAAATGTAATTTTGCAGATGCTGTCTACATGAAGCTTACTTACGAGTACATACTATTATTTTCTGCTTTCATTAAGAAAATATTAAAGTGTAAATAATATATATAATCTATATCTCATATCAGAATTACCAAGCTTTCAATTATAGTCCCTCCAGAGACAGATGCAGGCCAGACATGAGCAGTTTGGTCTCCAGACGCAGATACAACCAAATCCTGAGTTGGATGAAATCGCACAGAGTTAACAGAACCTTTGTGCCCCCAATACTGCAGTATACAACTGCCATTGTGTATATCCCAAATTCTTGCTGTGTGATCTAAAAAAAGCAAAATATATAAATTAAGATTCAATAAGATTGAAATAAAAAAAATTCCACTGTCTCACTTATTTCTTTAATTTAACTAAAAAAATCAAATAAACATGATCTGGCATTGATTTAATTAGCACAGTATCATAGAAGATCTTTGAATATTTTGCCATTGGTTAATTTCAATAATGCTGCCAAACAGTGCAATTTATAGCCAATAATGGATAAGCATGATGTTACAAGACATTCTTAAGAACTTCACTTTGATTTCACATAACTCTGATCAGGTTAGGTTTCATAATCACAAGTTATAAATTAACTGCTACTTCTCTGTTTTTCTTGCACTTTGATAAAATTGATTCGATTTCAAATTTCCTGCTACAGAGTAGAAAGCAGTTGAGTATTTTCAAACTTGCGGAAATGATTTTAAAACATTAAAAGACAAAGTTTGTCAAAATGTGACATTAAGAGATACCATAGTCAGATTCATATTTCAGTGAATGTAAGCAGTGTAGAGTTTCTAGAAAAGGTAAGAGTTTTGTTGTTAATGAATTCTGGTAATAGTTTTAATGAATTCTTTTGTAAGATAATCTCAAAGCTTGAGCTTGCAGTTATTTAAGTTTTAAATATACCATATTTATAATAACCTGCATATTAAGTATAGAGTGGCTTGCATTGAGCCTAACCAAATAAAGAGCAGTCTATTCCTTCACACTTTTATCAGAGACACTGGTACAGTTTTGGCGAGATCTCCACGAACTTTTGCGATCAGTGGGAAAATATGCAAGTACCCCCAAATACACACATATACAAATTATATTCTCTATAAAGACAGAAAATTTAGCTTCTGAAATGTCAAAAATTATAACCATTAAAAAGCTTATTTTAAGTTACAAAACTGACAGACAATCTGGGTAATATGAGGGATAACTACAATGCCCGTTTTTACTATTGTACATTCTGAAATACAATGAACGTGGATAGAAGGAACTGAATATGAGTTTGGTTTAGGAGTTAGTGAAATATGAGTTTGGTTTTCCAGCTAATAAATGCCATTTGTTAACGGCTAACATAGTTGTCCTATAAATACGAGAACTGAGCTAGTATGGTGACATTAAGTTGAAGTTAGGCCATGGGTACTTGCTGCTTTGTTGGCAGGGGAGCCACTGAAGTGGCAGTAACTGCCAGACTGTTAAAGTATAAGCACACAGCTAGAGGTGACTTTTTTTTTTTGTATCCTTTTCTTTGTTCTTGTTTATGATGAATATTAATGAACAGATAGAATAACGAAATGAACATAAAATTTTTGGCGAATCTTGGAAAAAGTTCTCAGAAAATTCAAATGTTTATGGAAATAATGCACTGATGAAAAAAGCTCTTTTCAAGTGGACTAAGTGTCAGTGAGGGTCGTGAAGGCTGCAAGGCCAGGACGACTGTCAACCTCTTTTGTTGAAGACAACATTGAACATGTGCAGTCTCCTGTTCTTTCCAATCATCGATTACTTGTCCAGATGATTGATGATAAAGAGAACTTGAAAAAATCATCTGTGCACGTGATTTTAAGAAAACATTTGGAGTTGAGAAAACTGAGCAAAAATCAGTTTTAAGATGATTTAATGAAATTTCCCTACTATTTAGTTAAAACATCAAGATACATGAACAAATGAAAGAGTTACTACATCAGATTAATTTCTCTGCAGCAGATTAATTTCTCTCACATTATTAAGTAAGAGTTCTTCCTGGATTCCCAAAAGGCACTGATATTATATTGCTGTGCATCCTTCATTGCATGTCACTGATCTTTCATCACTGTGGACAACATGAAGCAGTTTGTTAAAACTCTTGATATAGAACAGTTATTTTCAAACATTTCAAGAATTTCTTTAGTGAACTATATACGGAGGAGGGGGACAAAGCAAAAGTCTTCAGGAAAAGGAACATAAAGTATCAGAAGTTCGCCCAAGGAACTATGACTGTAAAGAATAAGCTTTCAGTAATTCTCATATCATGTTTTGCAGTATCTTGGATAATTAAAAATCACACGGAATTGGGGAAAAATCTGGTCCAAAAACAAAATAGGGTGTTGGATGTTATCTTTGATGCTAGCCTGAATAAATTTAAAGCAAAATATAGGTGTATATTTAAAAGAAAATGATCAGCACTTTCGCCAATGTATGCTACATTTTTAACTTCTTTCTCAAAAATGATACAACTAAAAGCTTTGATGAGAATTACATATGAGAGCTAATATGTAATTTCATAAGAGTAAGCACAAAACTTTACAGAATTTCTAAAGAACTCCATTTATGTTAATGGTGATGGCAAATAAGATTAATGGTAAAAGTTTTGTAAGATACTACACTTCATTCTTGTTAATGGAAAAAGTGTTGATATTAAAATTTATGAAAGATTTGTACTTGTGTTTTCTGATTTATGTTATTAGTTATCAGTACATATCATTTGTCAAATTATTACGTTTTTATGTCTCTAGATCATCAAAAGTTTCCTGATTTTTTTTTTTCTGAAAGAAGACCTGGTCACAAAAGCAAAGTTTAAAAGAAAAAATAATCCTTATTTTTCTCTCTTTTTAGAACTCTGAGGGAGGATGGAAACGTCCTCAAACAAAACAAAAAGTTAAAATATGTTATTAAGTGCAATCAAAGATTTCAATCTGTGGCGAAGGTTTAACACCACAATACTCCAAACTTGTCAGAAGGTTCATCAAAAGGAAAGCTGAAGACTTTTTAGTAAGCTCTAAAATTAAACTTATATAAAATTAAAAGGTAAAATATGAAACACATGATGATAAGCCAACATCAAATATCAACAACGAACAAGCAGGAATAGTGAAGTACAACTGAAAGTGAGCCTGTTGGCAAATAGTTATAAAATATAACTCTGCAAATAGTCTTTATCCTCGGGCTACAAAGAGTGCCAACAGTTACAGTGCAACAAACATTGATATTGCATGCAAATGTCAAAATACAAATACTTTCGTTGGAATGCAAATATTCTGCCTCAAATCTTTCAAAGTTGCACTGCAATAAAAAAAAATCAAAACCATAATGTTAAACCTAAAATAATGTACAAAAAATCTAATAATAAAAAATGGATTCTATTTCAGAATTAAAAAAAAAATAATAATATAAAAGTTTATTTTTATAGAAAAATAAAATAAATATAAAACAATAAAATCTACACACTTTTTAAACTTTACTAAAATTTAGGAATATATATGAAGGAAGCTTTACTCATACTAAAGTTTTCTTCATATAAATCTTACAAACTACATAATGCTGGAAAATGATCAGAGCTGATTTTTTCTTCCTTCTTGATCAATTAAGAATTGAGGGAATATATTCTTGTTATTGTAAAGACAAATTAATTTTGGTTCAAAATAAAACTCTGAATAATGATTATTGGGTAAGTCAAACAACAAGGATCATCATTATATTTGTAAATTTTGCAGGACTAGTTTCAATGGTTTAACCACAGAAACATCTTCTCCTCAGCTGGCTAAGTGCAAATAAATGAGGTACGAATGGTTGGACAGAAGTTAAGCTGCTGGCGCCATCTATTGATGAACCAAGAAACTAAAACATAATTTCCTTAAAGGCCAAAGGTAAAGATGGTTTGGAATTAAGGTCGTTAAGTACAACATATTATTGGTACTTCCTGATTACACACAATTCTAAAGACAAAGAATTAACGTGGCAACCCAGATGTGCATAAAGTATATGTCTGTTTAATTGCACTTTTGAAATGCAACATTTTTCTGAAACGTATTTCTTTTTGCATTGAGTACATTAATTTTTTTTGTAATAAATTGTAATGGGAATGTGGAGTTTGCTGGCTGATGAAAAAGAAAGTGTCTAGAAGCTGTACTTTTTAAACAAGCACATTTTATGAAAATGCAATGTGAAAAACTTCACACAATGTGTTAGAATGCTAGTCAGCCATATCTTGTTTAACACACCTATTTGCTTTATTTGTTGTTGAGTGGTGTGAAATGCTGAAGTTGGGCATGATGCTGAATTTGCACAATTCTCTAATTCCCCCCCCCAGTAGAAACAGATTACATTCAGTTCATGGGGAGAAGAAATTACATATGGATTTATAAAAAAAGTTAAGTGTTTTATTAGCAAAGTGTTTTTGCTTTTTAAATTTTATTGATTACATTTATATGGAATTCTAAGTGCAATTTTGGAAATGGCTCTTGCCTCTGCCATGCTAGCTTGGCAAGAAATTAGTCACCACCGAGTTCTCAAATACATGCCTCATTATGTATTTAAAAAATATATATATTTGACTCTCATTTAACTCTTTTTGAACAGAGAAAAATCCCAAGAATATAAAAATAGAAAATAGAAGAAAGTATGCACAATCTGTGGTTAGAAAGAAAAACACAAGAGCACACACAACTCATTTTGTTTTAAATTTCAGATTCAGAATACAATCCATGTGTTATTGCAAAGCTGTATATTGAAAATACTAATTGATTTAGTTAAAAGAATTAACTCCTTTTCCGGAATTTTAAATTTTTATGCATGCTCTAAGTTGACTGATGCACATAATTGTGATGAAAAAATTTATGCAATAAAATTTGTGAACTTTTATTAATTCCTTCTTTTGAAAATATGCTACTTTCTTAAGTAAATGGAATACACTTTAATTTGCGAGACTTGCATATAATGCATAAAAATGAACAATATTAAACTATTTTACCTGCTGAAGCTGTAGCTATTACAGGCGGTCCATATCGAGAGCAACTAACTTCCCAAACTCCATCCCTATGGCCTATATATTCTTTCGATAAACGGCATGTCAGTGTAGGAGCTTTGAAAGTAGAAACTATTCGGCTGGTCGATGCTTTCAGTTTGTACGTGCTTTTGATCTTCTGGGATAATTGACTAGCTAATATGAAAATTAAATGTTCAGTATTTTTTAACACACTATATCTTTTGCAATGTTAATAATATACATGTATATATTCATGGTTACAAATGACATTACGAAATAAAAACTGCATTTGACTTAAAAAGAATCATAACATTGTACTTTTACATTTTATTCTCAAGAATACAATATAATGTTTATTCTTTCAATATGCTTTGCTTTAACATAAAACTATAAATAAAAACACTCGAGCATCTTTTGAAATATTCCTAAAAAACCAACCCCATCAATAACAGTTTATGTTCTGAATAGTTCTGTCAAATACTTTGTTAGTTTGTTGCTGGATGTTTTAATTTTTATTTGTTTAGTTTTTTTAACATATTGTTACAAATTTATATTTAGATAGCCAATTTTATAGGATTATAATTAAAATTTTTGTATTTCCCAGTGCAATGCAGTGCGAGACAAATTTTAAGAGAAAGCTATGTCGGAAAAGTAAAAATACAGGAGCGCATGCATTTAACATTGAGTAAATGGATATCTCGGTAATTTATATTGAAACTGAATAAATGTAATTGACCACCATATTAGCTGTAACTGTAATTCCACACCGTTTTTGCTTTCCACAAATCTCGAGAAGCAGAAATTATAAGAAAGATATTGCGTGACCAGTTGAAAATTATTAAAGGCCTAAGAAACAGTGTCTCAGTTCAACGGCTTAGTTACTCTTTCTGCGAGTTGTAGTTCCGTGTGAAGAGATAAACTAAAGTTAGCTTTCTCTTTAGTTAACACTTTGCATTGCGTTGTATTTTAACATTTTTAGTAGTTTGAAGTATAACTACTACTAATTATACTGCGTAATATTGTGTACACTTGTATGAATATCTCTGAGAAAAATTCAAGCATTCTGATATATTTCTTTTAACAATAATAAATTTTATTAACCCTCTCGCTGCGCATCCCGCGATTTCCGTGGAGATGAATTTTTGCTGTCTATTTAACTGTGCAACCTGTTCTTTCCCCGTTCAAGGTTTCATTTCGGCTTTTCTGTGATGTTAATCGTTTATTTATATGTGGGCTAACAGATGGCAATAGTTGTCCACATTTCTGCCAAATATACAAGACTAAGTAATGTAGCATCTTGCACGCACTTTTCAGAGCTCAAAGATGTCTGGCAGGAAGCGTTTCGCGAGTGATAACCTATACTCCTGACGATATTTGCGACACTGATAGTAGTTTTGACTCTGATTTCAAGTATATTGAAGATAGTTATAGCGACACTGATGAGAATTTCTCAGATTCCTCTGCAGATAGAGATGAATCTGAAAATTCAGTTTCTATTGAAAACGTTCCACAGTGGTGCAAAATTGATATGCAAAATATTACATTATGCAAATATTTTCATTAGTATATATGTTTTACCTTTGTATTTTATAAAATAAATCGTAATTTAACCAATATTAATTTTCAAAATTTTTTTTAATATCATTATTCTTCAATTTCAGTATTCTGACAACCGTTTTCTATGATCTAATTCTACATAACTCTTTTACAAAAATTTTTTTTATATTTAACTCTAAAATATATGTAGATTTGAAATATGTAATAAAAAATACACAATTTTTGAACCTATTTTGATAAAAAAAAAGTAGGCAGTGAGAGGGTTAACCTATTATCAGACTTGTGCATTCAATCTATTATGAACTCGTACGCACAGAACAATATAAAGCCCGACTAGATCAGAGAAACAACTCTGAAATGCTACAATATCCATGCTTTGATCACCACTGGAATCTGTAAGTACCGAGAGACTAAATATATAATTATTTATTTGTTTAACAATTAGCAATAAATGTAACATTACTGTCACTTAGTTACAAGATGCCAGAGCAAAATGTGTTATGTATTTCCAATCACTAAAAAAATTAAATCAATTATTTGATACCAGCAGTTATCAAAAAGTTAAAATATAAAAATTCTTGAAATTAATTTGTCATTTCATAATAATACTTGCCTCTAGTTAAAGTTACTCTTTTCCTAAGCATAAGTAAAAAAAACAAGGGGGGGGGAGAAACATTAGTTAAGTTTATTTCTTTTTCAAAAATCAAGGCAAGTAATTTAATTTATAAGTTTATTATTTTAATTTATAAGTTTGAAAAATACTTTGAAATTTTGTTTCATACTAAATGTTAGAAAGGTGAGCATGTTTTTAGTGCAGCAAAACTATTTGTTTTCACTGGATAAAATATTATGCAATAACTACCTATCAAACATACTTAACACTTTTATATTTAAATAATAGAAAACAGAATTATTAAAAAAAAATAAAAACTTAGGATTGATTTGTATTATTTTACTATGGGCTGACAATATTAGACATTGTTTCTAGTATTTTCTACATTAGTTCATATACACATAGACACTACCAATAGTAAACATTGACAGTTAATATTGTCACTAAATATTAAGAGTAAAAATTAGCTTTAAAATAAATAAATTATATTATATAAATAAATATATATTAATAAATAAATTGAAATAAGGCTTATTTCCCTTTCAAGCATATAGTAAGTTACTTCTGTTGAAGGAATGAGTAATAATTCGCCAAAAAATAAGGCAAAAGATTAGATAAAAATTGGCCTTATGCAGCTTGAGAAATATTCTGGCGTATAAACCTGCACCTATAATTTCAAACTACATTTATGAATTTTTAGGTATATTTGCCATATAACATGAACACTCTTCTTTGCAAAGAAACCTGAAAGATAACACGAGATGCTATTATCTTTTGAAATCATTCATTTCAGGATTTTTTCCATGCATTCGAACAATGATATACTGAATTGACAATCGATAAGGGGGCTAATTCATGTGCGGGGGAAGATGCTTGAGGGAATAAGTAATTCCACAAAGAGGGTGGGATGTACTCAATGCAGCTCTGCACAACACTGTTATTCTAGGGTTTTAAGGAAAGGGGGACATAATTTGGAGTAAGATTGCCCTTTCAACCTGAATGAATTCATGGCATTACGAGTCAACAGTTTTCTTTTTCTGTAGTTATTTGATGCCGTGATTTTGAAGTGAACATCGAAGGTTATTTAGGAATCGAATTAAGAAATCGACTTTGACTTAGTTGATTTAGCGTTCCTTTTAGTTGTAAATACGGCTCTTGCCAAACAAAACAATACAGTGGCATTTTTAAAAGTCATTCAATTTGCGAAAAGAAATGGAAATTGTGCTGCAGCAAGGATGTTTGGTGCTGATGAAAGATGGAATGGATGATGATCATATATTTATGATGGTAGGACAATAAGAATGATGGTGAAGATGAAATAGAATTCGATGATGTGCCTGAAGATATATCGGAAGATGAACATAACAAACTTCTCCGGTTATCTGATAATGAAAATCAAGTTCATAAGGTATGTCATTTCTTTTAAATAAACAGTATTAAGGTTCATGTAAAAATCTACTTTTTATGTGCATATTTTTTCCTTATTTTTAATCTATCATTTTTGTATCTAGGGCATAATTTTTTCTAAAATTCCATAAATTTTTATCTTATTTTTTGCACTAAAAGTGAGCATTATACGCCAGAATATATGGTACTTAGTTAGGATATGCTACATTATGTCTCTGCAGAAGATGGAAAAAAATTAGCTAAAATTTAGTTTCTACAGAAACTAAATCTACATTGATTTTGAATTATGATAAAAATTATTTCACATAAAGATCAAGTTAAACAGTCTATGGATTAAAAAAAATATATACTTTAAATTATTGAGTATACTGGAGAATTATACCTGTTAGTGATTCTCTTTTCCCTTTGTTTTTTGAAGTTGCTGCCTCAGTACCATCCACCAGCTCAGTCCTATCAGCAGCAACACAGACTGGCTCTCTCTCTAGCTGTTCATTCAAAGCTTCAATTTTTTCCTTTACTGCAATAAAATTTAAAATCAGTTAAGGTAGGAGAAAATTAACTTGAGAATATAATTACTAATCAGTTAAATAATAAAAAAATCAGCATTCAAAGTTTCCTAAAAAAACCATCACATTGTAATTATCTACTCTTGATAAATTTCTTGTTGCTTCTTCCTTTCCCTGCTAACTGATTTGGCTATTTAACCTTAACTTCCCTAGAAAATCATTATAAAAGCCTTAACATCAGATCTTTCTTTTGTATACATGCTACACATGGAAACAAAATCTATTAAAACATTCATTTAATTAGCTTGTTTGCCAGGATTTGAGCCCCAGACCGAACTACCAATGTTCAGCAACTTAACAGTAGTAAGGTTCTGCTTGGCAGCCTTGATGAAGATATCTTTCTTCATGATACCGAACTTTATAAGAGTTCCAGCACTGCCCAGACAGGAAAGTGGTTAGTAACACTGAGTACTGTACTGAAAGGTCTGCATTCCAATCCTAGAGAAGGCCTGAATATAAATTGTCTGCCTTTCATAGAAAGCAATGGCCATAATAAAGTGACCACCACTTCTGGCCTTAGTAGTGGCCCATGCCTATAATAGCTAGTGCCCACCATTGGGAGGGGAAGAATGGTTTACTTCTGTTAACAGGACCAGATTCAGAAATGTATGTATGCATATATGTGTAAGTGTACACACACACATACATAAATAAATATGCACACATAAAAAAAAATACATGCATATATACATACATTTCTGAATCCGGCCCTGATAACAGAAGAATACCAAAAGAGCTCTAGCACATCTGTGCTTTTATATCATGGGAACATTTGTGTCTTGGAGAGTTATTTTCATTTTTAAATGAGAGAAAAAAGGCACTGGAATCTTTGTGCAAACTGGTGTCTATTAGGCAAGATTAAAACTTTCACATAGGTGTCCTGGAAGCTTTGATAAGAGTTGTTTTTCTCATGGCTATGGATTTCATAATGACACTAGCACATGTTCCTCTATACAGTGGCACTCCTGTGCCTTGGCAAATGGCATAAAACTTGGGGGAGGGCTACAGCCACCTTTTTTCACTTTGCCTGCCCTGGTTAGTCCAATCCCAAATCCCATCTGTTATTGTGTATGGAATTAAATAGCATTACAAAACATATAAGACCTGAATATATTCAGGAAATAACTGGAATTTATGCAAATTTAAAACTGAATGGGAAAAATTGGCTAGGTGGTAAAGAAAAAAAGATATGAAGAATTCTTAAATAAACTTCAAGACTACTATAATATTTCGTATAGTAACAATTCATATAACTTATCTCCAGTTCAGTGTGCTGTCACATTATTTGTATTATACACTGTGATAAACTTAACACGTTGAGCGCGGCGCCGAATTTGCTGTCCTTTCCGTTCAGCCGGCAGCGAGCTAAGCCGTATTTTTGTTCAGAATGTTTCAATACATTTCATTAAAACTAAATTTGATCACATTTCATTGAGACTATATTTATTTTTTAACTTTAATACTGTCTGTCCCGCGGACCGATGCCAGCCAAACGAAAATTCCAGTGCCGGTCCCAGCCAAACGAAAATTCCAGTGTCGGTCCCCGTCACACGGAAAGTTCACTGCCGGCTCAACGTGTTAAACAACAGGTGTTCTTTTTGCCATAACTCCAGGAGGTAATCATCTGAGAGATATGAATTTCAGGAATAAGAGACAGCATTTTGTATTTAAACGATAACGAAAGTTGCACAAAAATGAATACAATGCATACAATATGGAATGAAAAGAAAAAAGGCTTTATTAAACTCAGTATCGTTACACATGATTGTCTGTACAAGAGGAAGAACAACAAGCAGGTGTTCTTTAGTATGGGATATGATATGCCCTCCCCTTATTGCAATGGTTGCTTCGAACTGTCTCTTCCTACCCAGCACCAGATTGTCCAACAGGTCTCGAGGTAAGAGTTCTCCTTCCTCAATCAGCATCTCTTTAAGTTGTTGAGTGTTTCACGGAGGATGTAATCGTGCATCAAGGCATCTCCCCTAAGCTTCCCACACATGTCCTATGGGATTTAAATCAGGGGAGGAGTACGCTGGCCAATCCATTCGAGTGATATCTTCACTTTCCAATAGCTTCTGAACAGTAGGAGTTCGATGTGGTCGTGCATTGTGATTCATAAAAACGAGGTCTGCTCCAATGGCACCTCGGAACAGACACACATGGGGAAAGATCACCTCCTGACAATAGCGATCTCCGGTTACAGAAACCTCTGTAAAAAAAAAAAAAAAAAGAAAAAGAAAAAGAAAGAGAGAGAGAGAGTTCTGTCCGCCTGTTCAGCATAATGACTCCCCACATGAGAATTCCAGCACCACCAAGATCTCTTTCCGTGATATTACTGGGAGGAAACCGTGGCATGACCTTTCTCAAAATCAAATGGCGTTGAGAATCGCTTTTGGCTCTAAAACGACTCTCATCCGTAAGGAGGATACAACTCCATTGATGAGATGTCTAGTTTTTATGTTCTTTGCACCACTTTAAATGGTGGCACCGATCACCAACTTTCAAAGGGATGCAGCGTTCAGGACGGCGGGCGAAAAGGTCATCTTTGTGAAGGTGTCGGGACACAGTAAACCGTGACACTTGTCGTCCCGTTGCTGTACACAGTTTTTGAGCTGTGGCGCTTGCTGACTGGTTACGGGCTCTTTTCGCCAGCAAGACAATATATTGGTCATTTACTGCAGTTCTTTTCTTAAGGCGGCCACCACCAAATTTATAACAGCTGTACCTGTGATTTGGAAGGCTTTCCAAGCGCGCAAAATGGTACTTTTGGTTGATTCCGAACTCTTCAGCTACATTGGTCACACTACGGCCCTCCTCTAGCTTTCCGATCATTCTTCCACGTGTGAAGTCGTCCAGGTGATTTCTTCTAGCCACATTTCAGGAAAGAGTGCACTTGCAGCAAATGTCTTTAATTGCCTCTCTGTTCTTCCTTTTATTGTAGTCTTTAGATGAGATTGCCAACCGTATGCGTTTTGCGTACGCTCACTTTGCCTGTAATATTTTGCTCCCGACATTTGCATACGTATGAACTTTTTACTGAATTGCGTGTTCATTGTACTGATCGCAAGAACCCCTTTTGTGCAATTTCACGGCTATGTGTTTACAATTTACATTGTTGCTTAAGTTTTGCACACCAGTGTAAATATTCAATCAATGCATGGAAAATGTGCTAGGGGGCCTTAAGAAATGGATATGTGCATTTGCCACATGAACTGCAAAAATTACCCTGAAATAATTAGCTTAATAATATTTCTTATTTCAATTGCTATTGTTATCCAAAATAATTTGAATTAAATCTTTTTCCCTCCTTCCCAACTGGCGGGCACTTAAATGACTTTAAGGCCACAAGTGTTGGTCACTTTACTGTGGAAGCACCTTATAGGTGGGCCACCATTACCTCCAATGAAAAGACGGATAATTACATCATGTCTTCTCCTGGAATTGAACCTCGGGCCCTTTGGTAAAGCAGAAGGCTCCCCTAAACACTATACCATCTGGGCAGCGCATTTAAAGAACCTCCTAGAACAGAAAATACTTCATCATAATATTGTGCTTATCATTGACAAGTGGTTAAAAATCATTAACTTTGTTAAATTTACACGAGGTTAATAGAATGAAATTTCCAACATTTTCAGTTTTTACCATATGCAAATACAAGTCAGATTCTCTCAGAAAATTCTTCTTTGCATACTTCATTAAGATAAGACATTCACCGAGTATTTTGACTAATTACCATTATTTACTTGCTTTCTTCCTGATCACTTTTCAATTAACTTTTCTGCTTGAAAATTCAGAGAGGAATTATGTGGTGTATACCGCTTCAGAGGATAGGCATTAAGAATTTAGCAGATTAAAAAGCATTTGTACGTAGATATTGTAATACTACTTTACATATTTCAAAGAAGCCAGCTGCAGGCATTGTCTTGATCCTTTTCTTCATGTAGTACATTGTACAATAACTAAAAAAGTTTCTAAATCATATATTAAGAATGCCTGGAGGAAAAATGCACAAATATTTTAATCATAATAGTATTTCACAATATATTACATTATTTTTTGTAAATTTCATATTTCTCTGAATATTTTGAATCCCATAATAATTAACATTTTTATTATTAATAAATGATCTATCAATTATCTGTAAATTTTATAATTTTTAGAGTAATTATATAAAAAAGCTGACATGGACATCACATGATTTCCTTGAATTAAATCTTTATGCACAAATTAAGTTATAATGAAACAATAAGTTTCTTTTCAAATTATTTTTTTTTTACATTGATGCTTTTTACTTCCTTGTACGAAGTATCCATTTTCACTGCTCCCGAATACAATAAGACGCTGTTTTTTTGCATGACATCTATAGGTGTGGGCAAAATAAAGAGCTATTTTTTCCAAAACAGATAGTAAATGGATTCAGAACGGACATTCTCGTGACGTCTCTAAGTACGTACGTATGTATGTATTTCACATAACTAAAAAAATAACGAGCTGTAGAACGGTGAAATTTTACATACAGGGCTGCTATATAGTTGTGCATCTCCCTTTGTTGTTGCAATTGGCCGCAACAAAATTATATATCTGTAAGATAAAAATTATGAAAGCAAACTTCTAAATTTAATTCACTGTAACCTCTTTTATTTTCTATTTCATTTGGGAACTTCCTATTTGTCCTAAAAATAGCATCGTAAATCTAAACTGCATCAATCAAATTAATCATATGATGATACGTAACCCTTAATGCTGATGCCTCTCGGCCAATCACCAAATTGTAAATCATAACTGAAAACTGACTGCCTCCCTTCTTTCTACGAACTGATGCGTCACTTTCGTTTAAGCTTTCCTCTTTGCGGCTACCTTCTTTGCTCAAGGAATATGTGCTCATCTAACAAAAATGAGAGCGCATAAGACGCTCGTCCGTATATGAACCAAATGTTGCGAATCTCGACTT